GGAAAGAGGTCCTTATCCAAAGACGCGCTGCCGTATCCCTTTGGGTGTTCCTCTTTCTTTTAGATTCCAACCCCAAATTCAGTTCACTCAAGATTAACAGGTCTCTAGTTAAAAGAGGGTGGAGAGAAGGCAATAGCTGTGGAGCATCTCAAAGGAAACGATCAGCCGGGATCAAGCAGACCTTCTCGTCGCGGGGAGAAAGAGGGGAGAACGCGAACTTGCTCTGAAGAAGAAGGCGAACAGACGCGCACGGGATTGTGAAATGAAAAGTGGGATAAAACGGGCGACTGCTTCAAAAAGGAGTAAAATGAAATGATTACCAAACAAGAGGGAGGGATGGACCAGGGAAGGCTTGCTGTCCCTGGGGAAAAGAGGGATTGGGTAGCAAGAAATCTCATTCCCTCCCTCCCCGTCTCTTTATGCCTCTTCTGTCCCAGCGGAGCGCACCTTCTCTCGGGTTCCGCGGCTTCAGTGCTCTCGGGGGGGACAAGCGTGGACCTGACGAGGGCGGAGACTTGCCCTTAAAAGGCAAAGTCATTTACATGTCAATCTCCGTTCTGAGCTCTGATTGGTCGCGATCATCCATTGCGTCATTTTCAAAATCCGCCGCAAAAACTCAGCTGATGTTAGAGGGACTGAACGCTCTGGCAGTGGAAGTGGTCTCATGCTTTCCCGATTTAACCTTAAACATGCCCTTAATACCCAGGAACATTCACGATGCATTTCATATGCCTAGCATGATTAAAGCATACTCGACTAGGTATAGCATATCGTTTTCCAGAAGTCAAATCTGTCTAAAAGTTCAGCCGGTATGATTTGAAATTCTAAACATTAGCCTAACTGAACGCGAATCCAAAGTTTTACTGTAAGTACTATACTACACGTTCCCTGGTACTCAATGGTGTTTCAACAGATGACAAAGCGAAGTAATATTCCATAACACTGTCAAACATCTCTTTTTTTTTTTTTGTAAAACCGTGAGGAATCAAGCTGTCCTCCTGACTCTATTGATTGGCTACTCAATTGATGAATTGGAATAAATATTCAAATATGACAAACCACGGGGTGATTTGTAGCTGCATGAACTGATAATAATATTATAATATTAATTATTATTAATATTATTAGTTATTATTAACAGCCTGCGTGCAATACAAATATAAAATACATCAGATAAATTATATTAAGAACAATTATTATTTAGCTCATTTAAGTCAATTTTATCGAGTAATTAGAGTTTTATAACCCCCCAAAAAATCTGAATTGTGCACACTCGCATTGTATTAAGGATTTCTAGTGTTCTTTGGCATTATTTTGAATTCCACCAAATGACGCCTGATTAAATATGTATTACAGATAGCCCTCCAGAGCTCAGAGCGGGAAAACGACCCCATGAGATGGCGGGGGGGTAATGAAAACTCAATTTAATCTTAAAGTTAAAAAAGGTGACTAAAGCAAACAGTCCTCTTATCGTAACAACAATGCAGTCATCTGTTTTTCAGAAGTTTTTCCCTCAGATTCTTCATTTCACACATTATTATTTTATTATTATTATTATGTGGGCCTATGTTTGTAATTATTTTGCTAAAGCATCCTCACTAATCAGTCTTCTTGCTTATACAGGTTGAAAACGAAATCTTGCTTATACACTTCACACTCAAAAACAAAATACTCGAAGCGGTACAAAAGCAGCCGGTGTTTTTGAAAGACAAGTCCAACACGATCCCCGTCTGCCCTGAACGGACACGAATGGATCATGAACCCAGTCCACTAATAAAATATTCTATTTTGTTCTGTATTTGAGAGGTTGACGGTAAATGGTCACAGTCATCAGAAACTTGTTACGTTGTGAAACATGCTGAAACTAAAACATATTTAGGTATGCCTATTAAAATATTTGCTATTTTATGTTGTAGAAGAGGCTGAAGGGTCAACTCCCAAAGCCCAGCATCTGCAACATCATGTTAACTTCCAAACTAACACATTATGTTACACAAGACCATCAGAACATCTGTAAAGATTTACTAAAATACGACATCTGATGTCTCGGAAGCCCTAGATGTTTAAAACGATATAAAGCCGTATTTGGTCAGTTACTTTCATTGTTTGGCAGTTCTCTATGTCCATGGCGACAAGAACATGCACAATTTTTACTCTTTTAGCCCTATAATATTTTGTATTCCGCGGAAAGGAACGCCGTCACATTGTAAAGCATCGTGTAAGTTATTTTAACAGCACAGGCCGGTTGTAAGACTGTGTCTTGTATAATATGCATTGATCCAATATAACACTTCTACAAACACTTTCATATACTTGCATTGTACTCGCACAAATGATCAAATACTCCCGGACATATTTAGGAAAAAAATCTAGATATTTTGGATTAGGCTAGGTCTAATAACGGAATATATTACAACTGAAATGTATCTATCTCATGAAGGATGACCTAAAAAACGAGAGAAAAAAACCCATATCTTGTCTTTGCACACAGTTTCAAAGTTAATTGAAGTTCTAATATATCAGTCTTTCTGTCAGATTCAAGCGGTTGTTTCCACCTAGTGGCCTTCAATAAATAAAATAAAACATTAAAATAAATAAAAATAAAAAGCAAGCAATGTTTCTTGTCAGGAAATTCATCATATCAAATAATCATGAAATTAGTTTGAGCATTTATAACTTTCTTGATGGTGTTCTTTCTCAAGAGAAATTCTTTATCTCTCATTATCTATTTCATTTTTTATCTCACTCCCTTCAAAAGATGGTCTCCTGCAATCTTTTGGATCACAGATCCATTAAATGTGAAATGATTGATTGATATTAAATTAGGACCTCGAGAGTTTAAATATAAATTACTGGTATTTTCTCAGATCAGAGATTAGGCGGCTTGCACAAGCACTTTATATGGGTCATAAATTAAATAAATAAAGCACAACAGAAAATGTGTCTTAGAAGATCACAATACCAAATCAGCTATGTGGTCATTCATAAAAGCACAAGACTCAGTTATGGAAAAACTAACATACAATAAAATTGACTGTTTAGAAACAGGCTAAGCGATCATAGTCTCTACTAGACATCAGAAAT